CCGTGGATGTACCTCACATTAAGGGAACCACGTAAAAATTCTTGTGTCGTTATTGATTTAATTTTTCCGCATTAGTTTTTATTCCCATTGATAAATTTACTTATAAGAAATCATATATTTTTCCTAACAAAGTTTAGAATCACTTAAAATAATTAAAAAATCACTTTTAAAAATCAATTATTTTCTTTTTATTTTTACACATGTTTGGGTTGCGCATATTCACTAACACAATTTATTTAATATTTATATTGTTACATATTGGCATTTGTATTAAAAAATGTCAATTTTAATTGGTTTAAGTTTGTCTTCAATTTAAAATTGAATTAGAATGTGTTGTTGGGTTTTGTGGATTCATTACGGATGATCTAAACTGTTTAATGTGTAGGACTCGTCAAATGCTTTACTTTTGCAAAAAAAATCACGTTAATTGAATATCGATAACCACTCGTTCAAATTAAATTTGTGTCCATAATAATTATAATTTAAAAAATAATTATTGATATTCAATCAACGTAATTTTATAGAACAATAAAATTTTTGACATCTTACACATTAAACAATTTGAATTATCAATATAAATTTTGTGATGCGTCTATGAAACCCGACAACAAGTTTTAGGCTATATTTGACGAGCAAGGATCTCCTCCTTGATTCCCTATTTGGGTGGGCCATTGGGTCTATTTTTGGGACCAATTTCGATGATCCGAACAGTTCACATTTTAGAATTTGTCATGTACATTATACCTGTAAAAAATTAAATTGATCGAATATCGGAAGAATTAAAAACCATTTATTAAAAAAAATTTAATAAACAGTTTTATTATTTAATAAAACTTTTAGTTTATGTGGTTTTTGATATTCGATCGACTTGATTTTTTACAGGTATGATATACATGACAAATTTTAAAATGTGAACGGTTCAGATCATTAAAATTAGACCCAAAAGTCGGCCCAATGGCCCATCAAGTAGGAAGTTAAGTAAGGGAGTCAATGAGGGCATCCTTGCTCATGTTGGACATGCTCATTTGGGTTAAAATAGTCATATAAGACAAAATTCACCATTTTAGTCAAATAAAATAAAATGTCACATTCAAATCATAATAATTTTATTTTTTCTTTCACAAAAATAAAAAAACTAAAAAATTTATCAAAAATGAGACTTTTTAATCCTAAATTAACATAATTAAAAAAATCAAAAAATTAAAAAAATCAATCCACCTCCTAAGCGATGGCTCAGAGCATCTCCAATGGATGGCAAAATCAGCTACCAAAGCCATAATATGGCAGCTTGGGCAATCTTGGCTTCTCCAATGGCATGCTATAACAGCTACCAAATTTGGCAACTGCCAAATCAAGTGCCAAATTTGGCAGCTACTTTGGCAGCTGCCAAATCTGCCAAGTCACCCAAAATTGACTGTTTTCTCTCTTCCCTCCTTCCCTCCTTCCCTTTCGGTTGGGATTTTCCAGATTCATCAATATTCATGAATGAACAAGAATGAACAAATTCATCAATATTCATGAAGTTTTATTCATCAATGTTCATCAAATTCATCAATATTCAACAAGAATGAACAAGAATTTCAGAGACAGATTTAAAAAATAACAGATTAATTTCAGAGATAGAATGAACATGAATATTCAATAACAAATTTAAAAAATTTCAGGAAAACGAACATAAATAATCTCAAATTAATTTCTCAAATAATTCATTATAAAGGATGTTGTTTGCCAACACTAGTGTATTATTTAATTCTGTTTCCCAAACCCCCCCCTCTCGGAGAAGAAAACAGAGCAGGGCCACAGAAGTTTTATGAAGTTTTATTCATGAAGTTTTATTCATCAATATACGAATTTCAGGGCCACAGAAGTTTTAAATAAGACAGAGCAGTGCCACAGAAGAAGAGAGAGCAGGGCCACAGAAGTTTTAATTTCATGAAGTTTTATTCATCAATATACGAATTTTTTTTGCTGCAAATTTGCAGGAGATCGGGGCTGAAGAATTGGAGCAGGTTGGAAATGGTGAGAAGTGTGAAGAGTTACCACTACGAAGATGAGGAACTCATTTCGAGGAGGGGCGCAGATTGCTCTTCGGAGACAGAGCAGCGTAGAATGAGCAAGATTAATGAGAGGTAATCTCAAATAATCCAAAGAAAAATACCTAGATTTGATGGGGGGCTACGGTTTCGATCTGAAGAGGGTTGAAGATGAAGGCTGAAGTTCATCTTCACTGAAGTTCATCTTCATCTTCGCTAATCCGAGGGTTGAAGTTCACTGATCCGAAGTTCATCTTCACTGATTCGAGGGTTGAAAAGGGTTGGAAGTTCATGTTCACTGATCTAAAGCTGATCCGAAGTTCATCCGAAGCTCTCTCCCTCTAATCTTCACTCATCCGAAGCTCTGATCTTCCCTCTGACCTTCCCTCTTCCCTCTAATCTTCACTCATCCGAAGCCCTCTCTCTCTCTCTTTCTCTCTCTCTCAAGTTTCGAAGCTCTCAAATTGTTAAGAGTAGATCTGGAAACTTTCCTAAACTTTATTGAACTTCGAAGACCAGATTTTTCCACGTGATTGATCTCAGCCGTTATTAATAACAATCCAACGGTTAAGATCTAAGTGTGTTACTTTATTTATTAAAAAAAATAAAAATTAAATAAAAACAAAATTGAAACATATCTACAATGGCTATAAAAAAAAAAAACGGCTCTTTTTTATATTAAAACGGCTATAAAAAAACGGCTCATTTTTTTTCTTCTATAAATACAAACCTTCTCTGCTCTCTTTTTACTCAATTTCATTTCATAACAAACTTTCTAAATTACATTTTTGTTTATATTTTCTTTACACAATCGGTATGGAAGGTTCATCAAAAATAAAGAGAGGAAAATCATTCACCATTGCTGAAGATATGACACTTTGTAAAACTTGGTGTCACATATCTGAAGATCCAATTGTTGGCAATTCACAATCTTATACTCACTTTTGGGGGAGAATTTATGAAAATTATTGCTCCCTTCAGAATGATCAGTCAAGAACACAAGTTTCTATCCAATCTCGATGGGGTACAATCATGAAATGTTCTAACAAATTTCGTGGATGTTTAGCGCAAGTCGAAAATCTACACCGAAGTGGGATGTCTCAAGTTGATCTAGTAAGATTTCATCTTCATTTATTACGTTAGTTTTTTATTTTATTTTATTTCGTCTCATATAAAAATTAAATAATTACTTAATTCAATATTGATACATATTTTATTTTATCTAGTAAGATCTCATATTTTATTTTATTTTATTGATACTTACTTAATTCAATATTGATACAGATGCTTCAAGCAAAACTTTTATACCATCAAGATGAAAAGAAACATTTTGCTTTTGAACATTGTTGGTCAATCTTGCAAAATAATATCAGGTGGCAAAATGTAACTCCTACGAATACGGTGAAGTCAAGGATACATACACCATTTTTCCCTGATTTAGCCCCCGATTCCCCTATGGATAATTGCATTTCTCTTGAAGATGACACCAGTCCAAGTGTTGGTAACAATCCAACTGTTGGTGAGGGCAGTGTCTCTGCAAGGGGTAAAAGGCCGATAGGTAGGAAATCTGCAAAAGAATTATTTCGGAAAAATCAAGTCGTTGAAGCTGAAGTTCATAAAATGAGCACACAATTGGACACATTTAACCAATACCTTACTGAGAAGGAAAAGAAAAAAGATGAAAGAGAAGAAAAAAGGATTCAAGCACTGTAGGAGATGAAAGAACTTAAGATAAAAAAACAAGACTTTGAGATTAGAAGACAAGAACATGAGATGAAAAAGGAAGAACTTATGATAATGACTACGGACATTTCTCATTTAGACCCTCAGATGAAAGCGTATTACACAATGCGAAAAAAATGAGATTTTCGCCAAGTGGTCATCAAATGTGAGCAGCCCAAATTTTTATTTCCCCCTACCTCCTGATGAATAATTACGGGATAAATGTTAGTCTTTATTTTTTGCAATATCATTTATTTTTTGATGTAATTGTTAGTCTTTATTTGCAATGTAATTTTTATTTTGTAATGAAATTTCATGTTGTTGTTTTTATTTTTGAGTATTTTGTATTTCACAATGTAATATTATTTTTTCAATGTATAGGTGCCGTTTGATAACACTTAATGTTCACTAATTTGTATTATAATTTAATATTTTCAATAAAGTATAATGCAAAAAAATAAATAAATTTTTTCAAATGAAGGCAATAAAAAGATAAAATACATTAGCTGATATTAAATGAAGATAATTTTATTATAATAAAAAGACATTATAATATAAATATATAATTTTTTTCAATTTTTCCAATTTTTCATTTTTTTTATTTTTTATATTTGTCTAGTTGGGAATAATATAAATATATAATTTTTTTAACAAATAGGTAAAAAAATGTCACAAAAGATAAAAAATAAACAAAAATAAAATCACAAAAAACCTATATCCAAACAACACCTACAAAGTTGGAAGGAAAGTTAGCTGAGATTTGTCAAAAATGACAAATGACCATTGGAGTACCATTGTTATAATTTGACAAAATAACACTATTCATTGCCAAATTATAATAATAGTAACCCCAATATAACAACAACCATTGGAGATGCTCTCAGTTAAAGCTGAAGAGAAGCTTATCTAGGCCTTATTTTATTTTTATTTTTATTTTTATCATTATCTAGGTCTTATTTGGCAAAGGCTACAAGTTGACTTTTTAGGCTAAAATTTATCACAAAAAGAAAAAAGAGTCAAAATAAATTAAAATAGTCAATAAGATAAAATGTTATAATAAACTCATAATTTTTTTTTTTCACAAACATCATATTCAATTATAAAAAAATTAACTATATTTTCAAATATAAAAATTTTGACGCACCAAAATAACCAACTTATCAAAGAAGGCCTAATATCTATTATAAACACCGTCCTTGACATAGAAACGAGAAAATAATGAATAAATGAATTGAAAAAAAAGAAAAATGAAAAATGAAAGAAAAGAAACGAGAAGGAGAAGATAAAAGAAGGAGCTGAATATTGCCATATTGGTGAGTAGTAGTATGAGTGAGGAGAGAGAGAGAGGGAGATGCAAAAACCCTAAATACACCCCCAATATATCGCGAGAAATCAGCACATTTTCTAAATCTGCAACTTCCGATTATCTCTCTCTGTCTCTATCGAATCGAAGTATCGACAAGTTCTCTCTTTCCATCTGTGTAAGCTTCCCTCTTATTTCTCGCTACTTTCGCTCTCTTCGTTTTTTTCACTCTTTTCGATTCTCTCTCTACCATTATATATATTTACACACTCTTCGATTCTCTGTTGTTATATCAACTGCAAAGCATTCGATTGTAAAGTTAGCTGGAAAATGGCGACAGAAATGACTTGTAAATGTGGTCATAGTGGTTAACCTGTTTGGTTGCTGAGAAAATAGTGGAAGGAAGTGAAATTTGTGGAAGAAAGTTTAACTTGTTGAATTGTCCAGAAAGCGACGGTTTAACAGTCCGATTTGTTCCGTTTTCTTTTCGAAATCAAACAAAGAGAACGGTTTTGGTTAAAGTTCTGTTGTAAAAGTTTGTCGTGTTTAGCTATGAAGCTAGAATCCTGAGAGCTCAGTGTAGTAATAACTGAAAATATTTTACCTGATTGTTGAAAATCACTTTCGGACTTCAATTTTGTAATTGAATTGTGGATTTTGATTCCTAAAGATTTGCAAATTTCCTGTGGTTTCTCATCCAAAGATAGACTTTCCCAAATTGCTTCATTTCAAATCAATTTTGATGAATGTCGAATTTCTGTGTCAAAATTTGGGCCTATTTGATTCACTGCTGGTTTTGAAAGTTGATTGTATAACGAAAATATTTCTGTTCTTTTACCGATACAATCAAAGGGAAGTGGTTAATTAGCTGCCTATGAACACCTTAACATTGTGGATCATGATCACTTTGGATCATGTAATTTTGTAATAAAATCTTTTTGATGTGTCCAGAAATCACTCTATTGTTCATGGTTTAAGATTTTATGTTGCTCAAAATCATGCTGCTAGTGAATTTTTACTGTTTAGCACCTAACTATCATGGATAAGAGTTTAAAATGAATATATATATATATTGTGTCTTAATTTGATTATATAGATCGTTGTTGCTATTTTAAAGCATTATTGAGCTTCATTTTTTCCCTGGGTTGATCTTTGAGCTATTTTGCTTTCTTTTCTTTCTCTCTGCTTAGCGGTTTCTCGACATTGTCATTGACTTTGGTTTTCTGCTTGTTTTAGTTAGTGCAGAGGACACAGGGCGTCTTGATCATCAGTAAGTCCAAGCCTTTTTCTTGTAGCGAATTTCTCTTTATGGAAAAAAAAAAAAAAAAAATCCTCACTGAATTGTCATGAAGCAATTTGATTGTAACATTTTGGACTTGTGCTCCTCATGTTAGTCAGTAAAAAAATAGAAAGAAAAACTTTGCATAGTTACACTTCTTATAAACAAGTTTCTGTTACAGTCAAAGACAAGTATAAAAAAATGCCGCCTAATTAGTACACATTAATGTGTGTTTGGGAGGGGAAAGATTGAGTGTACACCTAACCTTTGGCATAATGGTCAAAGACAAGTATAGTATAATATATTGATAAACTGCATGAAATGTGGAGTTATGACCTTCAATTATATTTATTGATTTTGTGCTTGGCTGCAATCTTCAATTATAATTATGAAAAAGTAGATTGAGAAAAATTATGGGTCATTGGAGGTTATGAGTCAATTATGAAGAAGTTAGAAGTGGTCCAATTGAAAATAAATGAAGGAAAACTGGTCATGTCATGTGCATCGTAGACTAACACTTAGGGAGTGATTGGATCCACATGGGGGGTGGTAAAAGAAATAATTCCAACTTGTCACCTATAGATTTCAATAGAGTCAACATTGGCTTCTCCCTGTGATCTATAGCTAACCATATTAAGCAAGGGCAATGCTTAGTAAGTAGTGTTTTGTAATGTGCTTTGTTACACATGTGAAGAGAAATTGTCCATCTTTGAATTTTGTGAGTTTAAACCTCAAAATCACAGAATATCCTTTCTAATTGAATTGATATATTTTTTTTGGTTGAGTTTATATTCACCAAAAATGAAGTCAGATAGTTTTGAGCTGAGATTAATTTGAGGTTGAATAATACAGAGAAGGAAGCAAAATGAACTCTAATAAATTATACTAAAATAGTTGTTGCTTTTTCTCCTTTTTTTTTTTTTTGGCAGTGGTTCGAGAAAAAGATGTTTGTTGGGAATATGCTGATAAGTTAGATGGAAACAAGGTGAGATGCAAATTTTGTTCCAGAGTTCTGAATGGTGGCATTAGTAGATTAAAGCATCATTTGTCACGACTTCCTAGTAAAGGTGTAAATCCATGTAGCAAAGTAAGGGATGATGTTACTGATAGAGTGAGGGCTATAATAGTGTCAAAGGAAGATGGAAAAGAAGCTTCTAGTGCTAAGAAGCAAAAGCCAGCAGAAGCCAAGCCTCCTGTAATTGTAAATACTACAGGCAAAGCTCTCATGGCAATCGAGGCATCATCTCCCGTTTCAAAAATGTTCCCTTCCATCACACAAATGTGCTCTACCCCTGCAACTGACCAAGAAAATGCAGAGAGGAGTATTGCTTTGTTCTTTTTTGAGAATAAACTGGATTTTAGTGTAGCTCGTTCTTTATCATATCAGCTAATGATTGATGCAGTGGGAAAGTGTGGTGTTGGATTTAGAGGTCCATCTGCCGAAATCCTGAAGACTACATGGTTGGACAGGATCAAGTCTGAAGTGAGCTTACAGTCAAAAGATATTGAGAAAGAGTGGACCACAACAGGTTGTACTATAATCGCAGAAACATGGGCAGATAACAAATCAAGAGCTTTGATCAACTTCTTAGTTTCGTCTCCCTCCCGAACCTGCTTCCACAAATCAGTAGATGCATCTGCATATTATAAGAATATAAAATACCTCGCTGATTTGTTTGATTCTGTAATTCAAGATTTTGGCCCAGAAAATGTTGTGCAAATAATTGTGGATAATACTCTCAATTGCGCAGGTATAATGAGTCATATCCTACAGAACTATGGAACTATTTTTGTGTCCCCTTGTGCTTCTCAATGTTTGAACACGATCTTGGAGGAGTTTTCTAAGGTAGATTGGGTGAACAGATGTATTTTACAAGCGCAAGCTATTTCGAAGTTCATATATAACAATTCATCGATTCTTGATCTGATGAAGAAGTTCACTGGAGGACAGGAACTCATTAAGACTGGTATCACAAAGTCCATTTCCAACTTCCTGTCCTTGCAATCTATATTGAGACTGAGGTCAAGATTGAAACATATGTTCAACAGCCCTGAGTTCTCTGCGAACCCTGCCTATGCAAATAAAACTCAAAGCATAACTTGTATTGGCATTATCGATGATAGTGATTTCTGGAGGGCAGTTGAAGAGTCTGTTGCTGTTTCTGAGCCATTTCTGAAAGTGTTAAGGGAAGTATCAGGAGGGAAACCTGCTGTAGGGTTTATATATGAGTTGATGACCAGAGCCAAAGAGTCGATAAGAACGTACTACATTATGGATGAGATTAAGTGCAAGACATTTTTAGATATTGTAGATAAAAAGTGGCACAACCACCTCCATTCGCCTCTCCATGCAGCCGCAGCATTTTTGAATCCCAGCATCCAATATAATCCCGAAATCAAATTTATTGGATCTATAAAAGAAGACTTTTACAGAGTTTTGGAGAAACTACTCCCCTTGCCTGAATTAAGACGAGACATTACTAATCAGATTCTTTTATTTACAAGGGCAACAGGGATGTTTGGTTGTAACCTTGCGAAGGAGGCAATTGATACAGTCTCACCTGGTATGTATATAATTTCACCATTTAATGTGATATATGGTGAGACGAGAACTTTTAGACTACGCATTGTGTGTGTGCCAATCCTTACAGAATTTTACCCTTTTACATACCAGAAACTACTAGGACTCGTTGCTCTTTACTAGGTCAAATACCTGTCCAAAACTAATGTTCCCCTATTATATAAGAGACTCATTGAGGACTAGCTGTTCCATTGTATGACAACTTTGAACAAGCTTGACAGGACGAATCAAGTTCTCAAGAAAAGTTTTTTCGTTCACATTCTTCAGAAAGATATCTGCAAACGTTAAATTTCACTTCTATGATATCAGAAGACAGATATGGAAGATTGAATAATATCTAATGGTTCTTAACAAAAATATATATATATTAAAAATATTGGCACCACTGATAATTTAAATCTTCAAAATGTCACTTACATAAGTCTCTTCTATATTTTGTTGTTAGCTCAAAAAGTTTTAACCTTGTATCGTAATAAACTTATAAAATTTTCAATCCATATCTAAGTAAAACTATAACATTTTCAGATGCACAGTCATGTACGTGCATGAATGTATCTCACTATTGCTTTGCTGCTGGAGGTGCTGCCACTGATTCACTGGAAAGTTAACTGATGAATTAGTAAATGATCTTGCTTCTGTATCAAAGTTGCAGATAAATTGATTAAGCTCTGATGTCACTCGCACTTGTGGTGCCCGGTCACCAATTGCATTTTTTTAGTTTGTACAGGATAAGCTGTTGGTATCTAAAATATGTGTGTGTGTTAAGAGATGGAAGTCTAAATTTCAGCAAATAGAGTGTGTGTGTGTGGCCACACAAGGGCATGCATGCTTGTGTTGTTTGCGTTTGTGTATGTCGCCAATTATCTGTTGAAATGGTTAACATGCTGCAAATACATTGCAGGTATTTGGTGGGAACAGTATGGTGATTCTGCACCTGTGTTGCAACGTGTTGCTATTAGGATACTCAGTCAGGTTTGCAGCACTTCCACATTTGAGAGGCACTGGGGCACATTTCAGCAAATCCACTCTGAGAAGCGCAATAAGATTGATAAGGAAACATTAAATGACCTTGTCTATATAAATTACAATCTCAAGTTAGGAAGATCGATGAAGTCCAAGTCTCCAGAATCAGATCCCATTCAACTCGATGACATTGATATGACTTCAGAGTGGGTAGAGGAGGCTGAAAGTTCAAGCCCCTCTCAGTGGCTTGATCGGTTTGGTCCTGCTCTGGATGGGAGTGACTTGAATACAAGACAGTTTAGTGCTTCTATGTTTGGTGCAAGTGACCACTTATTCGGTTTGTGATCACACAACCCTGATCTAATTGATCTTCTTATACTGTATAAGTTGTGTCCTCTGTAATCATGATTTCATAGAATGCCTAGTCTGAGCTATTAGTTTGACAATTACTGCTTTTGGTTTGATGTATTGTAGTGGCTAGATAGTTGTTGCCTTCCTGTAGATGATGGATATGTATTCAATTGGAAAGTATTTATTTCCATTTGTCTTCACATAAATTATGGCTATCGACAGGACTCTTTCTAGTATGAAGAACTAGTATAAAGAACTTTAACATAAGAAAGAATAATTGTAACCTATCTGAAAGTAGAGTTTTCTCATTGTTTGTGCCATTCAGGATTTTTACCTCAGAAAATCTTTGCTTTGGTCATTGTGTTACCTTGCCTTTTTTAAAGTTCTCAATGAGCTTTTCTGCTCCCCACATTCCTAAATGTTACTAATTTAATGTGAAAATCAACTATAACCTTTTGGCATATTTAGTTAGAGGAGAGTTAACTAGGTTATTTGCCTTTTGTTAGGAAAGAATGTAGGTGATAGAAGGTACCCAGGTGATTTGTAGAAACAAGTACAACCTGATGGACACCTTCATTTAAGCAAAAGTTGGAATCCTCAATACCTCATGCGAAGGCCCTACAAAATGGTGGCACTAATAATGGGTAAGAATAGCACCGATGGAAGATCAATTGAGAAAAGATAAATTGAGATGGTTTGGTTCTATACAACGGAGACCAAAAGAGGTAGTAGTGAAGAGATACGATACACTGACGGTAGATGGTAGTGTTAGGGGAAGGGGTAGGCCTAGATTGACGTGGACTAGAGATGCGATACAATGACGGTAGATGGTAGTGTTAGGGGAAGGGGTAAACCTAGATTGACGTAAACTAGTGTAGTAAATAGAGATATGAATCTCTTTAATTTGACTAACGAAATGGCCTTGGAGAGAGTTGAGTAGAGAAGAAGGATTCATGCAGCCGACCCCATTTGATGGGACTTAAGGCTTTGTTTGGTTTTGTTTGGTTATTTTTATTTTTAAGTCACTGGACGCCCCTTCATGTCATTCATTTTGTGGTTGTTGGAAGATATCCTCTACTGCTCTACCTAGGAATTTAATCCTGATATATTGATTGAATCACTGATATGTTTACGTTCAAATGGATGAACTTAAAGTTGATCTCTGCAGCTAAAGTAGACAAATTATCTCTTTGTTCAAATTTTGGCATAGCAGTACTCAGCTTTGGATTTTTGTTGTGCCAATAAATCCCTTGAAAGGTGTGTCTCAAAGGAAACCTACAAAAAGAACCAAGATTTGTTAGATGAAGAAGAAAGCTTTGTGGATCTGTTAATTTGAGACAGTAGAAAGGCATTGTCAATTGGGAATGATCGGATGAGTAGGAGAAAATTTGGAGGACTTGGGATCATGTGACTGTATTGTTTCAAATTTGGAGGATTTGAGGTCTTGACTGCAAGGAGTAACATCATAAAAAATAAATTTCAGTAAAGAGTTCACAGAAATTGCTTATATATTTTATGCTTAAAGATGAGAATTTAAACTTTCTTATGACTCTCAAATCATCCATGTGGAATAAAGAAGCAGTGCTTTTACATCAAGAACTGATATAAATGATATATACTGCACAAAGTAGACATAAACTGATGTGTTTATATACCCCATTGGCATAGAAAGATTCTAGTGGTTTTTGTTTCGTTTCTTTTGTTTTATTTAATGTGAAGGCAAAATGTACCATATTGACTGAAGTTGTTACAAAAGCAATGCCACCAGCATACATTGATGGTATATATATGAGGAATGTATATATATGCTTGAAATATTTTCTTCTAAATCCTCGAAGATATTTTTGAATGTATTTGCCTTCTAAAAGTGCTTTGTTGTTTTCATTTTCTTTGCAACAATTTGCATATGCCCATCAACATTGTCTCTGCAGCATATATAGCTGCCCCATTTCTCAACTTTTGGGACTTCATTGTCTTCCAGATGATCGTAACAGAGAGAGGCTGGATGCCCTTTTTAAACTTGTTTTCAGATATTAATTTGCCATTGGATCAAATTTTCCTCTGGCAATTCGACAACGATGTTATACTATGAAAAGCAATGGTGGTGGGTGGGCATCTTTTGCTCTGACTGCTCTTCTCCTCTCTGGTAATGCAAAAGAAGGAAATGTGAGTTTTTCACTTCTTACAATAACTGAAATTAAATTGTGGGACTAAATACGTCAACAGTTGTCATGACTGCAATCTATTGGGATCAGGGCTCCTTTCTTACTGCAGTTGTTACACTTAAATATGCTGTTGTGAATAATATGAGCAATCTTTGATGGCTGTTGTCTGATTTGAGAGCTTTATCTGTTATGTTTCATGATATATGTGGATGGTAGCAATGAAGTATGTATGTATGTTTGTATATATATATATATATTATCAGGTGGAATATGGATCTATACAGTTTTTGAAATCTGAATTCCCTCATGCATGGTGGGATTGAGTAGAGTAGGTATGTACAGTTTCTTCCTTTTGGGCGCTCATGCATTTAATTGAACTATGTAAATAATTCTTCAAGAATCTATATCTTGTTGGAAGCTCATTGGACCTTAATTTTGAAAGTATCACTGGTATAGTCATTTTCTTCCTAACTGGCTTAAAATTTGTGTTCATGTACAGTAAGCACTGTTTTAAGTCACAATTTTACTTGAGAGACACAAAATGTGAGTTGAAAAGTTTTTCATTTTTGCAAATAGATTTGAGATTCTGGTTTGAGGTGAGGAGCTCGGGTGGTGATACTCTTGAGCAACAGTTATTCCATGTCTGTTTTGGTATTGGACAAATATATTCATGTTTTTATGACTTTGTGATTCTCTTTTTCTCTGTTTTTAGTAACAAGTTTGGCTGTCTTTTCCCCGTCAGGGCAGTACTCTTCAGATTGGGCATGGCTTCGCCAAGGGTCTTCTCTGTTCCTTTTTGGACAAACTAGTCCTGCTTTCCAACTATGTTTGGTTTGGTTCAGTGCTGTCTTCAAGTAACGGCCTAACACAATTTCATTGCTGCTGCTGGTACAATGGACGGGTTTGCGGTTCTTCCCATGGATGGTTGGCTGATCATGACAGGTTCGCAGCCATAACCCTCTTAAACCCCCATAACTCATGGCCACCATTTCTCTCCCCTCCTTTCTGTGAGTCTTTTGAGAACCTGAAGAATACGATGTGATGGTTACGAGGTATTATCATCTGAACCGTCCTCAAATCCAGATAATTACGAAATTCTGACAATTCTTTGTCCACACATTAATTAGCTTGATCGAAGTGCATTGCATTTCTACTCCATGTATTACTCTGTAGATACGAGCCAATACAATATTCAAGAAGTTATTGGGTGGTCTAGGACCAAAAGCAGAGGGTGCTCTAACAGCTAAATAGAGCATGATGATTGGTGGAATCTGACAAGTATTATCATTGATGGCCCCACTGCAGGGGGAAATCTCCCAATCATAATGCAGTAGGAGCACTGCTCTTGGACTAAATTATAAGTTCTCCCAATACTCATGCCATAAAACTGAAAAGAAAATTATCATTAACCATCAACTCAACACCCACACATCATGAGCACCACCAATTGCAACTCCCTCTGCATGTCCACAAATCTGTACAAATTTTGTCGACATCAACACCTTAATCTTATAAAAGGGGGCAAGAAGAGGAGTGAAGACGTGAGAAAGGCATCACAATTGTCGATCACCATTGTGCCAATCCTCCAGCAAGCCTGCCCATTTCAAACCATAGAGGATTTGAGTTGCAACGGAGGAATTGATGAAAAATAAGGGGCACTATGGTAGACAAATGAAGGAGGTGGTTCAACAGAACAGAGAAGGGTGGAGAAGGTAATATTTTTGGTGGATGGGAGGGAGGATGAGGAGGCGGCTGTGGTGATGGTGGGTGAGTGGATGGGTGAGAGAGAGGAGGCAATGGTGTAGGAAGGAGAGCGATACGGTGGTTTGAAAATGATGGTTGATGAAGGTGGTGAGATAAAGGATTAATTAGGTCATTTTATTGTAGTACGAGAGGGTAGAGAGAAATTCCAAACAATAATACCTGATCTCCAAATACAAATCATAAAGCAAAGTATTACTAATAAGATTCAACTGACAATAACAGATGAAGTTCAACTCAGAACACTAAGAGTTACGAATGCATTAAAGCCAACTGTCAATTTTGAGGCTCGAAATTCCTTTCCTTTTTTTTTACAGTCAATTAACATGACCAAACTTTATAATGCACTCTGAAACCAGTTTGTATAATAAGCATATCACTACTATATCCAAGGATGTGCTAGGCATCCTCAGGACGAGCTGTTGAGAAAGTGTGCCAGCGCCTTGTCTGTATCATTGTCATACATGACCAACGCTTCTGCAACGTTGTTCGATGAGAATCCCATTTCTTGCAAGAGGGTAAAGCCATTGACAAATTCCCTAACCTGCCAAGAAAAAAATATAGTTGAATAACAAGTTTTAAATGTCACACCCAAACGGACTAGCGAGTTGGCACATGAAGGAATAAACCATGGTGCAATAGAAAGTCAAAAGACCATCTACTACGACAACCCTGTCACAGCTCAAAAATAACATGTACACAAGGAGCTAAGGAAAAAAGAAATACCTTGGTTGGATTGTCTCCATAATGTGCTACAGCAAGAGGTACAGCCTCTCTGCTGAGACCCGATGCTATGTATTTGCTAACAACAGGATTTGTGCTGGAGCCCTGCAGTGAAGTGGAACACGGAACTAAAATTTCTAAGTGAATGAAAATTAATTAGATATACATAAAACTCAAAAACAAACACAGAGGAAATTCAATTTCCAAAGGAATTCAATTGGGCCTTGTTAAAATATTAACTAGTATATATATACAGATACCCGAATAAACTGTGCACTTCTGCTCTTTTAAGTCTTTAACATTTAGGTTAAGTTTGGGTCATGAATTTAGGCAAGGATTTGGAAAGGGAAAGGAAATATGAATAACATATAAGTGTTTTTTTTTTCTCCATTTCCCTACCATTTTCCTTTCTCTTTCCAAATCTCTACCAAAATTGTGGGGTCCTTATTGTATTTTTTTTCTAAACCTTGGGTGATCAGTGTAATTTACCCTTTGATATTCTAACATTTGCACCAGGATAAAGACTTCATGTTATTCTACTTTGGGGAACTTCTTACAGTTAGCTTGCAGAAATATGATTCTGCTTGATCATCCAGCTCTCAATCTACTAGTTATTATAATTAATACAATTTTACTACTCAACCAGATAACAATAAAAGTAAGAAATAGAAATACCCAATCCAAGGACATTGGTGATGGATGCATACGTAAGGACTCTTAGATTGTGTTTGGATCTAAGATTTGAATAGGGATTTGTGGAGAGAGAGGAAAAGGTGAGGGAAAGAAATCTTCTCCTTTCCATTCACAAATCCAAATCCTAATCCTAAATCCTAAATCCAAACACAACCTTAAAGTGGTCACATACCCTATAGCTGAGGGGTTCAAGTATTGGTACAGAGTAATGGGAAAAATTTTAAGCCTATGAAGCATGCAGGTTGTACTCACTATAACAATGATTTGCTCCAGTCTGTACCAGGCAGGCTGTGCACTGATATTGCAATAAAAGTTGAAAATTTAACTTAAAAAGAAAAGAGTGAATTCAACTTGACAAATACATGAGTGCTAGTATTACTATTAACTCTCTTTTTTTTTTTCATTTGAAAGAAAAATACTACCTTCTATCATGTTAAGGGGCAAAATTTGTTAACTTTTCCGGTTCAGTTTGGATGTCATTGATTTTAATGCAACTCGGGCACAGTAAAGAGTTATCCATGATAAATCGCTTTATTGCTTTATAACAGAGGACAAAGTCCACAACTATTGATTAAATTTTGATATTGGGGTGATATCTCCCTAGTTCAACTCAGTTTATGCAAAGAAGACAACAACAATATGACAGCCATCAGCAAAGACCATACAATGAAAATTTATAACTGCCTTGAATTTCACTCAGCAATAGAGCACCCAATATGATTAAACTTTACTCCCAACATTCTATGCTCACTCTTCACCTAAACTTTACATGACAAACTAGCTCCCCAAGTCTATCCTAATCAGTAAATATTCCTGATTTAACCTCATTCCTATATTGCCACCTTCTATTAAATCTCATTTCATTTAAAATGACCAACCAACATAAATCATATTAAAAGAATTGAATACATCAAAATCTGTAGAACATAAAACATAAAAAACAGATAAGCACAAACCGAAGAAGACGTTGATTCTGCAGGTTTAGACGAATGGTTTTCTATCCCAATCCTGCTCCAGTTCTGGCTTTCCTTCTCTGCTTCAGCTAGTATCTTCCTTTCAAGTTCGAAGTCAAACTGGAAAGTGCTTCGGGGAATTTCTCCAAGTTGTGGGGACATTTGAGGCTACAAAAGAGAAATTAATAGGTAAACATAATCAAGCAGACACCTTGAAATGTAAATTGATAAATAATAACAAACACTTCCGCCTTTGAACTCATTAGGAATGGAAGCAAATAGAAAAATTAATGAGGATATATTCATGGAAAAATTGGGTAGAAGGTATCAATTGCCTTGTAATCATCATGCCAAGTTAAGCTTAAAATATGCTACGTAAAACATCAAATCAAATAAATAACACATTACCAAATATACAAGTATGTAACGCTAAGCTAATGCATAACTGAACTTGAACCCAACATGGTGACAAGGTTGTCATGTTGAACGTGTTAAGAAGATCACAGCTTGGAGCATAAAGGGTTATAACCTTAGAAACAGAAACATGCTAACATAGCCACATGAGCAATATGTGTCTGATTTGCAATTTCAAAATGATTTGATTTCGAAAACTTGCAATAGAAAATGCTGAGATATCATATCTCAAGAACCTGAAAGATTTCAGATTGCAGCAGAATATAACATTTGTAATTAAGTCATAAAATGGTTTTTGTCCTTAACTTTAAGTAGACCTCTGTCTTCAAGTGTAAAATCTAACCTCTTGTATCCAAGAGCATGTCCTCTAAATCATTCTTCATGACCATCCGTACCAATTAATTCCCTCATAAATGTCTCCCAGGTGAAAGCCCTAGCTTGGACACTAGACACCAAATAATTTTGGCACTAGGTGGTTCGATCTACATGGACATTCTTATCTGACATGATCAGTAATCAATATTAGTTGGGTCCCTGTATGAAAGAATTATTGCTATTGGTCTTTTCCTCCTCAGCTACTGGAGAGTGATTAAGAAAGAGAACTCATCAGATATAATTCTTTCTAGAGAACGAAGAATCGTTGAGATGTAGATTCAAAACCACCTCCAAAGCAACAGAGTGCAGAGTCTTTGGCGATGCCCCCTCACTGATACTACATGGATTGCTTCTTCTGCCCCTTGGTGACACCACATTATCTGAACTAGGCTTTTGCATGATGACGATTTGCTTCATACACTATCATTGGGTACCTATGAGAACCCAAACCAACTTACAACTTCTTCATAAGGTTTTTTTTTTTTTAGGAGGAGAGACGCATACAGGGCAGATCAAGGGCCTAGTTATTATCTAATCAGAGAATTGAATTCCAACTCATGCGTATTTCGCCCCACGGACATAAAACCAGTTGCACACAACATCTGGATTTCAAACAATGGGGCCTGACTTAGAAGCTCATAGAAGAATATATATATATATATATTTATATATTTACTGAATTGATCAAGATTCAAGAGATATGTTCTAGCTCAAAATGATAATGACCAGATCACTTTGATCATCAATATGAATCAGAATCAGCAAATACTTGAAGACACCTAAATCAACATCACAAAGTAATCAAGCTCTATGAAATTAATATAAACGATTAATTCACATGTGCAAACACCATGAAAAGGTATAATCAAGTCATATCAGCAGCTACTGTAAACAAATTACGGCAATACAAGTACAAAATCTAGTAACTTACGGGTGGTGTAATGCGATATTCCGGTTTTATAGCAACCCTAATCCCTAATCCAGCTGCAAATTTTTAGAAACAAAAATATTAGAATACAAAAAGGCAATCTTAGCATCAAATAGAATTTTTTCATACATGCATTTGCCAAACTGTTTAAGATCCTTTGCAATAGATGAAAAAGAAGAGAAACAATTGTTGTTTGTCATCTAAAAAAAAAAAAAGAGAGCAAATAATCGTGTTTTCTCACACTACGATGATTTTTTTCTCTCTTTATATTTTGATAGAAAATCTAGGTATTATAAAAAATACATAACGAATCAATTTCGTTTCTTAACCAATCTCACCATGTTTTGTGACCAATGAAACTGATATATTAATAAAAAATAAAAAGTTGTCTTTCTCTCAATTTCTCAGCTAATTTGTAAACGAATCACGAGGAAGTTCTCTTTCTCATCATTTCTCATCAAATCGCTCGATCAAAACGGCTGATAATAATAAATCAGTACAAACTCAAGAAAATAGGTGCGACATCAAGTTAATCAAAAGTTTTCCAAACAAAATTCCCACGTTTTCTCTGCAACCAAACTGTAAGATAAATTGATGTATTATTATTGATTGATATGTATTACAAGATTGTTGTCTATCTGTATATTGATTACAACTCATATATATAGAAGAGAAGGTAGCAGATTGTGGTGGTGCTGGTAGGGGGTGAAGTGGAGGTGGTAGGTAGAGTTGAGTGTGTTAGGTGAAGTGGAGGTGGTAGGTTTTAGTGGTGTAGGAGGTGTACATTCCAAACAAATCATATATACACACAAATAAAAATAGTATAGTAGAGAGAGAGAGAGAGAGAGAGAGAGAGAGAGAGAGAGACTTACAAGAAGAAGAAGAAGAAGATGGAGAATTGTGATGAAAGGAAGAGGCATGGCCGGGGGGAGCGTTGACGGAGGAGCGGCCGGTTTGTCCGACCCTAGGGTAGAGGGACGATGGTCCGTACATCGGATGGCTTGATGATGATGATGAAGTTGTTGGCCTGTAAATCGGGATCTGCGAATCGTATGGTGGATTTGCTCTGTTCCTGAAATCGTAGTCCATGTTCTTGATCGCAGAAGAAGAAAAAGAAGCAAAGCAAATCGACTTGCTTTGTTGTGGTACAATTTTAGGGACTGTTTGTTTGTAAAAGTCCACTGCGAGTTTAAAATGGCTAATTTTATTTTATGTTCAATTCCTTGAAATTCTCATTGTCTTGTAAAATACTCCGTCTTTTAACTTTCCCACTAATAAACTTCACTCGACCTCGTCTGTCAATAAGTTTTTATTTTTTTAATTACAATTGTAGTTATTGGAGCATTTGTTCGAGCATTTATACGTACGATTATGCAATATGTATTAAGAAAAATAGGTGGTAGTTCGAAATGGGTGAGGGTCGAATGGCTCGAAATTTGAAAATCACGTCGTTTTGTGATTTTCTTTTTCTTTTTCTTTTTTTTCTTCGTTGAACACAGGAGAATAGAGAGGAAGAGGAGGAGAGACCTCGTCACAGCTTGCAGCTCATTCGTCGCCTCCGCCCGCAGTCGCAGCTCGCAGCTCGTCGCCTCCGCCCCGATCGTGCCTCCACCCCCCGCCTCCGCATCCGCCTCCAACCCTAATAATTGGGCCCCCTCCACTCCTTCTCCTCCTTCCCCCTCCTCCTCCTTTCTTCATCCTCCTCCTCTGATTTTCTACTTGTTCTGAAAAAAAAAAAATAAAATAAAATGACACCAAAACTAGGGGATGAATGGAGCTCTGTGTGTGTGTGTGAGTTTTCCAGAGGGAGGGGATGAACAGAGGGAGAGTGGGTGTACAAAGCAATTCGGGCCTTTCGACCCACGCCATTTCGAGCTACGAAATGGGGTTGATGTATTAATTTGTGTGTTAATTAATATATCAATTAGTATTATATCATTATTAATAACTCTATCTATTAATTAAATTATAAATATTTAAAATTTTTAAAATTTTTAAAATTATATCACATCATTTATTAGTACATTAATTAATACTTATAGCATTATTCTTATTTGTAAACACAAGTGGAAGTGAGGGTAGAATCATGATTTTTAACCAAGGGAGGCAAAATATGACATCTCCTTCAATTTTTTTTTGATATATATTCTTTTTTAATAATATAATTTGAAAAGTCTAATTGATATATACGATTCGTTTAAGATGTGGGTTGGTTAATTTTTTTGGTTATTTTTATCTGAGACTAAAAAGTTTCATTCGTGATAGACTTTTTAGTTTTTATTTTTATTTTTATAAGAGAAAAAATAAAATAATTATAATTTAGATGTGACATTCTGTTTTATTGACTTTTTAACTTATTTTATCTTTTTACGACTAAAATAACCAATAAAAAAAACCTCCCAATCAAACAAGTGCATAGAGTTTATCACAATGCTTATTATTATTTAATATTTTTTGTCTAGATTTTTTTTTTTTTTTTGAATTTTAAACTTATAGTATTGTTAATTATGGAAGGCCCCGTTTGTTTTCAGAAGTATAATGGAAGGGATTAATAGTGAGGGGATTGATAGTGAAAGGATTAAGTAAAATTGTGTTTATTTTGATGATAGTTGTTAGTGTAGGAATTGTTAAATTATTTTTATATAAAATAATAAAACAAATAAAAAAATATAAAAAATTAAACATTAATATTTTTTAAAACAAATCCTAATATATAAAAAATAAAAAAATTTCTAATCCCCTCACTATTTTTCTAATATCATCTCCACCTCCTCCATCTCAATCCTCCTTCCAACCTCCATCTATATCACCTCCTCCATCTCAATCCTCCTTCCAACCTCCATCTATATCACCTCCTCCATTCTAATCCCCTCCCCAACTCTACAAACAAACATAATACTAAATAACCACACCTCCATCCTAATCTTCTCCTATCTATTTAACCCCAAAACAAATGGGGCTGTTAGATATTTATGTGCTATTAAGAAATATCATAATTTTATTGATTTTTTAAAAAGGATTAATTATAATTGATATTAATAAAATAAGTGATTACAATAAAACAAAATTAGCCTGAAGTTCCTCTTTCATTTTTAGTGATGGAAGAAATCCACAATATTATTTTATGATATCTAAAGTCCCTTAACCCCACACTCATAAGGTGTGTTTGTTTGGACGAACTGGATAAAGGGGGATTGTAATCCATCGGACTGTTAGTCCTAGGATACATTGTCCTCGGATTATTTGGTTGGATTGGTTGTATCCTATGTTTGTTTAGTCATGGGATTAGATGTCTGGATTGGACTATTTTTAGTGAATCTAATGTTTGGTTTGACAGATTGAATAAGAATAAATGTTCAAAAGACTATTTTACCCTTGTAATTTATAATTTATAATTTAATAACACTAAAAAAATTTAATTTATAGGCCATAATTTTTAATTTATTATTTTCAATTAAATTAAATTTATAATTTATATTTTTTAAATAATATATAATTTTAAATTAACAACACTAAAAAAGTAATTTTATTTAATACATAAATTTAATTTTTTAACAAAATTAAAAAAAATTAATTTATAAGGCCATAATTTATAATTTATTATTTTTAATTAAATTAAATTTATAATTTATATTTTATTTAATATATAATTTTAAATTAACAACACTAAAAAAATAATTTTATTTAATATATAAATTTAATTTTTTAACAACACTACAAAAAATTATAAGGCCACAATTTATAATTTATTATTTTTAATTAAATTAAATTGATATTTTATATTTTATATTTAATATATAATTTTAAATTAACAACACAAAAAATAATTTGTAAATGTTCAAAATACTATTTTACTCTTTTCCAATTGTTTATTGTAATAGCATGATGGTAAAATAGATATTTCACACATTTGTCCCGTGGGATACCAATCCCATGGAAATAATCTCACCCCTCCCCTTAGGATACAATAATCCCTCATATGAGGGACTAATAGTTCGGAGGAACTATTAATCCGGAGCAAAAAAAATTAAACCAAACAATGAACTATCAGTCTGGATGGACTAATAGTCTAATCTTATGAAATAATCCCTCAAAACAAACACACTTATATATCACAAAGTAATTTGACTCTCTCAAACACAAAACTTGCTACAAAACAGATCACAAAAAATGCGAAGTTCTTGTTTTTGAACATCGAGATTGCTCCACTATCAGCACCGCTCGATCCTCTTGATCTCCCCGGAGTCATATTTCCACTCGTCAAACTTGGCACCGGAGACTCAGCGCTACTCGTAATCGCAGTCGGAGTTGTACTATTACTCTGTGAAGCCTTCACCAAATCCAAAGTCACCTTAGCATTCAAATTTGCCTGCTGGAACTCATGCTTGTCCGGAAAATCGTTCATGATAGAGTCAGCGACTTGCCAAACCTAATTCATCGACGAGCTATTCGTCGACAATGTGAGAGTCGCAACGATCTTTATCATTCCGCTGAAGTACTCAATGCTCTTCTTAGGGACTTCGAAGGCGATCTTCAATTGAACGATGGATCTGTAGGAACTGATATTGTACGTGTTGACTGACATCAAGCCGTTGGATTACTTGAGGGCGACAAGAGCCTGTACGTTGGCCATGCTAGTTTTGATGGAGTTGAGGGCCTAGGCGATCCAACCGTTAGATTTGACTGGAGGAGCAACGAAGGCGATGGAGAAGGAAGAAGGGCTAGTGGAGGTATGCGCTCAAGGAAGGTAGGTCTCTGGTTTGTTCAAATTTCTCTAGTTGTTCAAATTTTTTTGGTTTGTTGCTGTCTAAATGTCTTATAGTTCAGAGAAAATTGGTCAAAATAAAAATGGTGGTTGTTCAATTTTCTCTGGTTTGATAAAAAAAACACGAAGAAAATTATGAGCAAACCAGAGAAAATTAATCAAAACACAAAGAAATTTTATGGGAAGCCCAGAATTTCTCTGGAGCTGGATTGAATTTTCTCTGGATCGGTATTGAGGGACCTTAGACAGTATAAAAGTATTGGGTGTCCTTTATGCTATAAAATTTTAATAACAGGGACCCTAAAAAAATATCCCCTTACAACAATGCTAAAAATAGAGAAAAGTATAAAGAAATTATATGTGATTCAAATTCATTTTTTGCGTAAATCCCACTATACAATAACTGAATCTAAAACACATAGTATTATTTTTCCTTGATATTTTTGTGTCTAAATTATTGGTCTAACTATAAGGAGCAGTTGAAAATATTGTGATGAGTAAAAAATCAAGAAGAGATTTTAAGGGACAACAAAAAAGTTTAGGTTGCTTGGTTCCATTTTTTTAAAAACACTTTTCAGAAAATTCTATTTTTTTTATTTTCTGAGTTTTTTTTGTTTTTACTGAATTTTTTTAATATTTTAAGCAATTTTTTTTACTTTTTAGACACACCCAACATAAATGCACCTAAAAAGTAAAAAAATTGTAAAATAAATCTTTTAAAAATTCACTAAATACCAAAAATACAAAAAAAATACAAGAATTCAGTATATTTTTTATATTTATTAATTTAAAAAAAATCACAATTTTTTTATTTTTTAGATACATCTAAGTAATGTGCATCTAAAAAAGTAAAAAATTTAAATTTTAAAAATATTCACTAAAAACAAAAAAATACAAAAATCAAAAAACTCAATTTTAAAAAACTTAATCCAAAAAATTTAAACCAAACACACTGTTCCGTCCCTGTTCATAAATAGAATTTTCTATACGTGGAGGGGGGGCAGGCTACTCCTGGTTGCTTAACAGTTCCTTAACAGTTCCGTCCATGTTCATAAATCACTCATTACTTACTTATATTTCACTTAATCTAAATTATTTTTTTTATATTTCAATAAATTATATGGGTGACATAATTACTAAAATACTCCTAATAATAATAGCTTGAAATGCGCATTAATGTTCACATTAATAATGTGCATGTTTCATGATATAAATATTCACACTATTAATATTAACATTCACATTATCAAATTTATTTAATATAAACGTTTACATTGTCAAGTGGCTAAGGATTTAAAAAATATTTATAAAGATAAAATTGTTAATAAATATCTTGAATATGAGAATTAAGATCTAATGGATCAAATGTTTAAAATAATAGAACTTATTAAAATAAAAGAATAACTTATAGATTAATTGAGATACAAGTAGTTGAAAGAAAATTTTCTAATAGATTTCCAATTATGACTCTATTCTTATTCTTAATATTTCAGACTCTAATTTAAAACCTTTAGCTAACCAGACTTCTCACGTGTGGTATTAGCCGCCATCACCACCTCTTGCATCCTTTTTTAGCCTTATTTTTCCCTGCCACTCTCACATGCTTCCCTAGCCCTGTCATTACCTTTCTCCTTCCTCCTCTTCGACCTCTCTTTCTCCTCTCGATAGCCCTTATGCTCTTCATTTTTCCATTCACGACCGACCCTAGGCCCAAACAGCTCTATTCAGCAATTGCAAACCCTCTTTTCGATCCATCTATTGCAAGGTCTCCACTCTTTACACTACTACCCTAGCCACAAAGAAATAAATGGAGATAATAAAAGTGAAACAAAAAGAACATGAAATAAATGGAGGGTAGCGGATAGGGAGTACTTCAAGGTGGGTAGCGAGTTGAGGGGTGGCGGAGAGTTGTTGGACTAGAAGTAAGGTTAGGTTTTTGTAGGATGAGGGATAATTTTGGTATTAAGGTCTCGTTTGGGAATATACTAATTTAGTAATTTTTTGGTTATTTAATTAAAATATGAGCTAAAAAAAATTAGTATGTTTGGGATGATTTTTTGACTTTTTACGAAAAGATGTACAAAAAGTAGAGAGAAAAGAGAATCTTTGACTATGTTTGGGATGACTTTTTAGCTTTTTACGAAAAGATGTGCAAAATGTAGAGAAAAAAGAGAATCTTTGACTTTTTAGTATAGGTTGTTGACTTTTTGACTAATTTAGTAACTTTTTGACTTTTTAACTAAAAAGAAAGATTTCCAAACGAGGCTTAAGTGGGCGTCTTAAAATTTTTCATAAAATTTGTATTTTTGAAGTAAAGGTTCAACAAAGATCGAGCATCAAAGAGGAAATGTTAGTGCTATTAGGTCTCGTTTGAGAACAAATTTTTTTAGTAATTTTTTGACTTTTTAGTTAAAATGTGATGTAAAAAAAATTACTATGTTTAAAATGACTTTTTAACTTTTTTACGAAAAGATATGCAAAAAATAAAGAGAAAATAGAATATTTAACTTTTTGGTAAGAGCTTTTGACTTTTTAATTTTTTTAATAAATCGATTGCTTCCCAAACGAGGCCTTAGTGACACTAAGAAAATTTCTACTAAAACCCTTGAACCTATAACATTTAACCGGGTTTTGGATCCGTTAGACTCTAAAATTGGATGTTTTTGTGATTTGCAAGCAATCTGCATTTGTCAGCCTTGTTTTTGATGTTAATTTTTTTACTAATAAAGGCAAAAAATTATATTGTTTTGAAAATTAATTATTTTAATTGATTATTTTTTCACTTTTTACAAAAATAACAGAAAGAATAGTTAACTTATTGATAATAAATTTTTAACTATTTAAGTAGACCTGTTTGACATATACCAAAAGAAGTTAAAAAATATTTGTACCAATTTAAAAAGACTAGACTATCCTCATGCGTGCATAGGTAATTACACTTTTGAAAGGGTGAAATAGAAAATTCAAGCAAAAAACAAATGTTTTACATTTTTTCCGTACAACTAAAAAAAGTCATTTCCAAATGTTTTTTTTTTTTATCTACTAAACAAAATTAAAAAGACAAAATCACTCAAAAAAAAGCTTATCCCCAAAAATTGGCAAATAATGGTCAAAGATTCACCCAAATGTTAGCTCCACAATGCATAGTTTGAACACACACCATAGATAAAAAAATAATAATAAAACAATAAAAAAACAAGGATACTACAGACCCAAAAAAATATATCTAGAATTTACTCAAAACATTAATATGTGATTCAGATTCATTCTATGTATGAACCCCACAATGCACAATTTCAATTTCTACCACAACCTATTCTTGGCCAAAATCTCGGTCCCTAAACTTTCTAAAAAGAAAAAAATCATGGTAATTTTAAGAGAACTTTTCTGGTTCCCTATACGTTTCCATAGTTGTGCTCACTTCACTTGTGGGCATGGGGAGTGAAAAAGATGTTTTTACCCAACAGGGTTCGACCATCCTACCCAAAAGTAGCACACATTGAGGAAATATAACAGGATTGGGAATCACCTAGTTAACCAAAAAACAAGTTGCCTGGGCCTGATGCTGAACTTGCTATCATCATTATGGGCTCAAATCCATCTCATCTCAAAAAAATTGAGAAAAAAAATAAAAAATAAAAATATAGGGTAAAAGTTTAAATCCAAGGAATAAAAGAATCAATGTAAAAAACGCAACTCGAAAGTAGAATATGATACATCATGTTCCCTATGTACCTGTCACTAATGAAAAAGATGTTTTTACCCAACAGGGTTCGACCATCCTACCCAAAAGTAGCACACATTGAGGAAATATAACAGGATTGGGAATCACCTAGTTAACCAAAAAACAAGTTGCCCGGGCCTGATGCTGAACTTGCTATCATCATTATGGGCTCAAATCCATCTCATCTCAAAAAAATTGAGAAAAAAAATAAAAATATAGGGTAAAAGTTTAAATCCAAGGAATAAAAGAATCAATGTAAAAAACGCAACTCGAAAGCAGAATATGATACATCATGTTCCCTATGTACCTGTCACTAACAGTTCTTCCTATCATTTGGCATTTTCTTCGGATGCTATATATGTCCAGTACCCATTATCTGTAAAATTTCCGACAAGTCAAGTTTTTGTTGTCTACTGTCACATTTGTAAACTACGATTCTCTTTATCTGTGATTGCCAAGATGTGGAGTCACTCTTGAAGAGAGCTTTGTCTTTCCATCTGAATGGCATTCCACCAAAAATGAATTGCCAATGCAGCAATGTATCATGTGTGCATTCACACCAAGAAAGCCTAAAAGATTCGCATCAGGAAATCCTCCAAAACATCTGTAGCACTGGCATTTGTGGTGTTGTTTTTGTTTTTGAGGCTAGTCACATCATACACCTGCACAGACAGCTCCTGAAACAAAAACATAGCATTCATTTAGCTCAGGAAGTGCTGTCTCAAGTTGATCCATGCTAAGAAAGATTTACATTGGGGCTCACTCATATCATCCTACAAGCATACCATCCTATTTTTCAAAAGGTTAGGCAAGCCTTTGGGAAAGGTCATTGCCCACTTGGGTTTGACACTTGGGAAAGGTTTTTTTTTTTTTTTGTTGTCTTCAGTATAAAAAAAAATTAGAATTTTTCAAAAAAGATTTTATTTTTTAGATCCTTCTAGACTAGACGGACTGAAAAAGTAAAAACTTTTGACACAAATTAAAAAAAAAAAAAAAATTCACTGAAGACAAAATTTAGGAAAAAATCTGTCCTTTTTAGTTGTAGCCAAACAAAGAGCACCCTTCCTCTTTGTCTTATCTTATAAGTTTTAGTGTCAATTTATTCAATTAGTTTTCCTTCCACAACATCATCTTAGTTTTCAGTGTCTTTTGTTTGTGTCAGGGAGAGAAAAAAGAGAGAGACCTGATGACCAAGACGAGCAGCAAAATGTTCTCTCATCAATATATTTGACATTGAGCCCAATAAACCAAGATCCCACAGTAACATCATCATGGGCGTAAGTTTGAAGAATAGATCTGCCAACTCAATTGAACCAGGATTCAATAATTGCTCCATAAGATAGTGGGTGAGAAAACTGCTGCACTTAACACAAAATGAACTGACCTGTTTATCGAAATAAATTTAGCCAACGCTTGGGATATGACGACCATCTCACCTGAAGCATGACGGAAGTACCTGTCGGATAAATCATGCTGTAAGACCAAAAATATTGGCAGAAATTGAGTTTAATGAGTCAAGGAGTGATATAAATTAACATGAAACTGTGAAATAGAGAATTCTAGAGCGATTTAAGAACCAAACTCACACGAGAAATTTGACGTATCATTGATCATTCAAAATGTTCAAATTAACGTACACTTATGACCTATGAGTAAGCTAGCCAACTGAATTCAACAATTTCAAAATGTATGTATACATATTTTTCCTCTTGGCTGGGTAGAATCAGCTGGTAATATATTAGATCAATACACAGGAAAATAGAATTTCAGAAATATATTCTAATTCACAAATTAGTAAGACTAAGAATATCAGCACAAATTGAGTTTAATGAATCAAGAATTTGATATAAATGAACATGAAACTGTGAAATGGAGAATTGTAGAGTGATTTAAGAATTAAACTCACATGGGAATTTGATCTATCATTTGGGGATGTACATCATCAGTATATCATTGATCATTCAAAATGCTCAAATTAATGTACACCTATGAGTAAGCTAACCAACTAAAGGCAACTTCTCCAAAATTTACATATACATTTTTTTTTTCTTAGCTGGGCATATTAGGTCAATATACAGGAAAATAGAATTGTATTCAGAGATTTTAACTCACAAAATTGTTTTCCCTATAACATGCCAGGTATAAGAAATTAAAAATATTAGAATTATGAAATGTAATGAAATTTCCTCTTCAGAACTGAATTACAAGCCTTAATCAGATCAAGTAACACTTACACTTTCCCATCCCCAAATTTCCACCAATCTGGTTCATACCATTTGTGGCTCCTGCCAGATTCCAAAAAAAAGAAAGTTTGTAAACAATGTAGAAAAAAATGAAATTCACATTCTACATGCAAACTATCACTTTGTAAGCCATTCATAATTGAGTTAAATTTGTTAAGCAAGCTTACTGTTCAGAGAAAACTTCGCCTGATTTCATACAACCAACATATACACGAGGCTTGTCTAAATGAGCTGCAAGTGAATTTCCCAGGGCATCTGCACCAAAAAAATAAATCATAACTTCACAATCCATTACACTTAAGTTTCAATCCTTAATAACAAAAGTATCACCAAAATGCATCGATCACGAACCAATATTTACATAAACATCGTCATTGACTTTGGCATAGAATTCAGCATCCCAGTTCTCTGCAGCATGAGCAAAGAACAACTTTGTCTTCTTTGGAAGCTCCTCAGGTGCCTCTACATGGTTTTCCTGCAAATGTTTTGAAGGAAGAAAAAAATAAAATAAAAATGCTAACGATGAGCTTAAGCTGACTGGGACAGATTCCACAAATAAATAGGAGTATTCAAGCAAAATATGGCAAGTCCACAAGAAACTATAATTAATCATACCAAGCATATTCATGGTGATAATTGAGAAATGGGCAAATTACACAAATAATCCCTATAGTTTGGGGCTTGTGTCACTTTGGTCCCTGACTTTTCAATTGTGACACATTTGACCCTGAATTTTGAATCTTGTTCCAAATAAGGACAATTGAAGATATCATTAGATTTTTCAAGGTTAAAATTGTCAATTTGATAAAATATTAACTAATTTGACAAAAATAAATGTCAAACAAATATTTTTGAATTTTTAAAAATTATTTCTACCCACTAAAAATAAAATTATGTAAAATTGATAAATCTTTTAGACATTTATTTATTTTTTTTACCAAATTAATTTTTATTATGTGTTTGGATGATGATCATGTAAAATTAATTTAAAAAAAATAATCATGTAATTTTTATTAATTTTACATAATTTTATCATTGGTGAATAAAAATAATTTTTAAAAAATTTTAAATATTTTTTTGGACATTTATTTTTGTCAAATTAGTATATATTTTATCAAATTGACAATTTTACCTTTGAAAAAGCTAATGATATTTTCAATTGTCCCTATTTGGAACAAGATTCAAAATTCAGGGTCAAATGTGTCACAATTGAAAAGTCAGGCACCAAAGTGACACAAGCTCCAAACTATAGGGACTATTAATGTAATTAACCCTTGAGAAATTATAAGAATTTATAGAAAATTCTATTATGATTTATTTTAATCAGTAATGTAATAAGAAGAATGTGAGTTTCCATGAACTTCCAACTCAAATCCTATGCTCATCTTGATCCAAAAAGGAAGTGCGAGACCACAAATTCAATTTCCCATGCTTAGGAATGCTGAATAATCTTTAACATATTTGAAAAATATGAAAGACAGCAAAATATGTGTATTTTTAGAAGTCAGAGGCTTATTGCATGAGTTGTGCCTCAAAGAGAGAGAGGTTTATGGAAATGCCCTAAACAGTGTTAGGGAACCAAGTTGGGCATTTATCAATACCTTTATATATGACAAATTCATAAAGGATGTGCCCACAAGCAGGGAATCTGTACAAATTCATATGTTTCCTATAACTCCAGCTTATGTAGAAAATATGAATGTTACTATCTTAACAAATATATATGACTAACCTACAATTTGTGGTGGCTCTTGTCATGGGATTGTTCAACCCATAAAACTAAATATAACAAACTACTGTATATATATATTTTCGATAAATAAAAGTCAACTTTATTAACAAAGAAGCATCAAGACGATGCTAATAAATACAACATAAAAGAATCAACAGGAGAAGTATCTATAAAATCCACAAAAGTAAACAAATTCACCCCCATTAGTAAAAGGTTACATCATACACATCAATTAATCACCTTTTCCCTCACAGCTATCTATTCAACTTAAAAAAACCATTCCAAACACATTAACTTCTTTCGCCTTATAAAAACCTAAAAAGCCAAAAAAATAACTAAAAAAGCAAATTGATGAAATTACTTATTGTTAGAATTTACCTACACCTACCACCACCTACTACCACACCTACTACACCTACCACCAATTTACCCTCACCTACTCCTCACCTACTACCCAAACCCTCTCCTATATAATGAGCCACTCTGATTTGTAATATAATGGATCAATAGATATCAATCAATAATACATCAGTTTATTTTTTACACTTATCAAGAAGAAGAACCAAATTAAATGAGCTCACACTTCCATTTCTGAACCCACAGCCATGTACACATGCAACTATGCAATTATATTTGGCAAAACACAAAAAAGGCAACAAAAAACCCACTACACATAACTATGAGTTCAAATTAAGTATGGTAAACAAATTCAGAGACTCCTTGAACATACAAGAATACTGAAGTCATTGGTCTGCTTATTTTCATTGTCGATGTCTCTGTCCAAGCTGTCCCCGCCATTAGCACTGCAAATCAACAATTCACCATAATATTAATTTCCAACCATTGTAGTAATTTAGGCATGCACCAAAAAGAAATAGATAAAAGCAACCTTCTTCCAATGATGAATCGAACAATGATGCCTTTTTTATCCTCCATCTTCTTCAAAGCTGCACCTGCAAAGATGATAACCATGCAAGAACTATACTTACATAAGCTAAATGATTCAATACATTCAAATTTCAGAACACCACTAAATATTTATAACAAAGAATTGCTTTACAAAACCTAGTAACCAAGCCAGATTAAGCAAATCACAAGGAGATGATGTAGTGATTTGAAAATGCTGCACAAAGTGCACAATCGATTGCTAACACCAAAGATCTCATCAACAGAAAATCGATGTAGGTTTGCAAATTTGTGATGTTTGTGCAGTCAAAGTTAGACCGCAGCATAAATGAAAACAGACTGATTTACCCTTGTTTCATGCAGTGTATTGGCACACCACATGAGTAGGGTATTTAAACCACGTGGCTAAAGAAGAAAGGGACAAGACAACCATGCCCTTAGGCCCTAACCGATTTCTATTAATTGCAAATCAACAAGCTTTTGTTTAAGTCAATGAGAAATTTGATAACCAACAACAGCAAGAGACTTAAAAAATTAGATATTTAAGTCTTTACCGAGTTAAGTTCAACTATGGCCCAGCCCATCAGCTTCAATACCTTACTTATCGAGTTAAATGAAGTCTCCTTCATTTATCCCATCATGAGGTTTCATTTACTACATCATGTAGCATCATTAGGCTTACCCAAAAGCGCCATTGTCTGATTTCACCTTTCCTCTAGCCATCTTCTTCACTCATTTCAAGTATGTACATACTTGATTGCACCACTGCCTTAGAGAAAGTATAGTTTTGTACATTACCTGCTCTTACAATTTATTCAAATATAAAATTGTTCAAATAGCAATACATCTTAGAATCAGTCTTTTCCTATTGGAGGCCAATTTCTGAAGTTCAAATTGTAAAACAGCATGCATACTCTTTAGTTACTCTTCCCATACAGTACACAGCAAAAAGGGTAACATGCATATTATTGTTTTTGGATGCAAACCCTGATCACATGCATATTCCCACATTCTGCATATAAATTCTAAAACACAATACTCTCCAGAATCTTAATTCTGCGGCTATCTTCTCTGTATTTTAATAATTTATCCTTAATCCTGTATTGGAAAAATAGGATGGCAGCACGTTTAGGACAGATTCACAAAAAAACATCACTCTATCAAAAGAAAAAAAATAAAATAGCAAGCGCACATATAAGGGTGGTACTTTACCAGTTCCCATCCACGCCTTGCGGATTGCATCTCTATTGTTCTTGCGGCCAAACGTTGTGAGTACTCCTATGACCACTAGGGGCCTTTTCTTAGGTATCTTATTAGTCTTTGACCAGTGGTTCGAAGTGAAACCTTCTTGTTTGGCTGCTACTAATTCCATCTCAAGAGCTGATAATTTCTTCTGTTGTTCCCTAACATCCATAAGATCCTTGATCAAACTTATTTTAAAAATACAAATTAATGCAAGTGTAAAACGTTAAAACCCAAATAATAACTGACAATTAACTTACCTGCAGGCAATAATTTTCAGTGTATCATCCACTGATATTGCAGAGTGCCCCTGAAAATAAAAAACTACTTGTTCACTTAAATTACTCCAAATAAAGCTAAATGTGCACATGGACATGCCATGCAAGTGTGCACATGGGAGTGTGAAAAAATACTTATCAGCTTCAATGCAAGTAGGCACATGCATGTTTTTGTGTAAAGCGCCACTCATTGGTGTCAAATAATGCACGATGCCTACCAACACTATTAATACAGTGGGGACAGTAAACCCACTTCTTTTATAAATCAAACACGTTAGATGTTTCTAAACTTGTCATACCATCAGCCTTGTAGGCCAAACGAAACCCAGGCAGCTTTCTCAACTTTTATGTCAGGAGCTCAAGTCCTTATATTCTCTCACTTAGCAAAAGAAAAATACAAAACCAAATAAAGTGAAAATTTTGTATAACCATGTCAGTCGGTAATTTTATCCGATGACATAATCATTTGAATTGTGTGAATCTTCAAATGTGCCATTGACTGAAAAAAATACCTAGAAATATTGATGGGACATGCAAAATAATAGTTGGAATGCCACATGATTTGATCCTAAAGAATAGACCATTCCGATGGGCCCAATACAACATCGGTACTACAAAAAATGCAATACCAATAAACATTTTATTACCTGCCCAGTTATCCTATCAAGCTCTTTTATTAAATAGACCCGGTTCTCTGCATCCTGCCACAAGCTATCTCCAGAAAAAAGAAAATGAAACATACTCAGCAAATAAGACTTTAAAAGGGAAAAAAAGAAAGAAAGTGTTATGGTGATAATCAAATGCCAGACGCGCTGTGAAATGCCTCCTACACTAAAAGATATTTTTATGTAAAATCTTTTACATTTAAAAAAAATCACTTTTTCTGATATTCATGTGCTTGGTTGAAGCACAAGAATTAAGTTAAAATACTAAGAAATGCATGTTAAGCAAACACATAAATACGCAAATAGGCAGTGACTTGTTCTAATTGTATTGGGTGAACCTCGAGGTTACAGAAGTTGCGGAACGTGAATAATGGACTCCAACTTCAATTTTATCATTAGGAATTACACGGTGAATATAAGCATTCCAAATTTCCAATAGTGCCACTGGTCTATAGATAAGTATCTATGTGCACATCCATCTATACATACATTTATAATCTGTTACATACACTTGTACTTAGCTACACCTGTATATGTAGGCTACCATATACAGGTTCCTTTGGCTACCATATATTTTTGAACGCACATTATGCATCTAGATGCACATGTATACATATCTGCACCTACACAGGTTTGTAAATTCACTTTTGTTAGGTGCACATCTATTCAAATTTGTTAGAATTTCCCATCTTTACCTTCACCTACTCCACTACACACTCCACTTCACTTACCTCCACTTCACCACACACTCCACTTCACCTAACCCACTATCACCTCCACTACACCTACTACCACATTTTCTTCTATATATAGATTGTATAGGAATTGTAATCAATTAATCTTGTAACAACAATCAATCAATCAATCAATAATACAT